TACTTGCAAGAAGTTCCCAACCATAGAGGGGCTCCAACTTAAGAATGAACAGGTCTGGTGACAGCAGAGTGGGATGGCCACATCTGCTCTCCACAGCACACCTCTGCAGAGCGGTAGTGCTTGGGAACTGGAGAGAGACAGAACCGCATTTCCTCAGGTGCTGGGAGGAAAGAGCAGCACTGGCAGCCAGTGCATCTTGTGTCCCCTGTCCACTGCTCATTACCCTGTAGTGATGTCACCAACTACTGGAGTAGCTTAAACACTCCCTTTTGAGAGCAAGTCTGCCATAGTGTGACTCCCATTTGGAAGAAAAGTGTGCTTGAAAGACGCTACCTCTGGTTAGAGCCATGGCATACTGGTCCCCACATGCTATTTGAACAACATCATGGTTTCCTAGTTCTTTCACCAGCCTATAAAAAAAGGAAAAACCAAAACCACAAACAAAATAGATAGATGCTGTGCCATGAGATGAAAGAAGATTCTCTGCTCACCAAGCCCTAGTACATTTAGCATGAATTACATTGAAAAATAGAGATCACCTGTAAGATGATTCACTCTGCTCTTATGCTATCCTCCTCCAGCAAGGCTAACTGATTTGATTGTGGTTTGTACCATGGGAAGCTGGAAGAGAACAGGCCTCAGCCCTGGGCAAGCTAGCAGAAAATCCCACAGCAAGCTGCCACGCCTGTTTTAGATGAGGGTTACCCACACAGCTTAATCAGAAGGTGGTAAGGTTCGGGTGTGGTTGGGTCCTTCACCCACAGTTTTCCAAGCCATGTGTAGTCTGCAAGCCATCTGCATTGATCTGGTATGTGCTACTGATCCCTACTACATGAGATAAACATATCTCATATGCATCTCAAGCAGCTCAAATCCTTGTATTATCCTCAGAATCAGTGCACTTCTTGCTGGGTTAAAAAGGAAGATAGAGTCTGGGGTAATAGGAATGTAATGTGTTCTTGTTCCCTCTCTACAACAGGTCTCAGCCTCTTGGATGTTACCTCTAAGAATAGCAAAGCACATTTTCTGACTGTTACCATCCCTACCTCCACCCTCTGAAAGCTTCTTACCTTGTCTTAGAGCAGTCAGCTGAAGTTGCAGCCCAGTGTTCAGAGAGCTCCCCATCAGCGGAGAGAACAAGCTCATGGTTTGAGCATTGCACCCTCTCCTTCCTCTGCATCTGCATGTGCTCTGCACAACAAATACAGACAGGCATGATGGTCATGCTAAGACAGCAGGCACCTCAACCATCTTGCCCCCCTCCCCAGGGTCTCTGTGTGCTACTGCTCTCACCATGAGCTTCTGCTCCTCAGGAAAAAGTGAGACTTATTTTCTCAGACCTCCTGGGGTTTCAGTGTCCTACCCACTGCTTGGTTTCATGCCAGAGGGCTCTCCTGGCTATCACTAAAAGACATTTATCCCTCTCTTAGGCTGCAGTGCCACCAGCTCCCAGGATGATCAGCAGAACTGTTACTTTTGCACAGCTGATGAGCGTCCTGGGGAAATAAAGCACTTACTGAGGTATCTGACTGACCCAAGTTTGTCACAGCCTTGGGATGGGATGCCTTAAGGTCAAGAGGTTTTACAAGACACTGGAGAAGCAATGATGGAAAATTCACACATTGACCATTTACAGCAGAAAGAAGTCCCTTCTTGTCTACAGCTGGGGGGCTGCAGGTGCTTTCCTGAACTTGAGGCCCCAGATCTGTTCAGTCAGTCATATGTAGCCTTATGGCAGCACAAGTTTCTGAGACCCAGGATGCCCAAGCATGAAAGGTGGTCACATCAGAGCCTCCTCCCCTGAATATAGCTCACACCTCTGGAGAGAGTTCACCATTCTCACACCTCCCCATCTTAATCCCAACATGCAACCAGCGAGGGAAACCCACGCCCTTTCCCCAGCACGAGCTCCTTCTCCCCAGCCTCCCGTCTGCAGCTCCCTGGGACAACTTCAGACACTTCCCGACGGGGGACATCCGACCGCTCCCACCGCCTCCCCACCGCTCCCGCCGCCCGGTACCTCCCGTGCTTGGCAGAGAGCAGCTCCCCTGGCGCCGCCGCCGCCGCCGTCCCGCCGCCATCCCCCGCTCGCTCAGCAGCGCAGGGGCCGCGCCGGTACAAAGCCGGAACGCCCCGCCCCGGCGGGGAAACGGGAACCGAAACTTGTCGGGTGCGCGGCAGCGGGAGGAGGAGCGCGGTCCCGCATCTCCGGCATCTCGAGGTCTGGAGCTGGGAAACTCCGACCGCGCTCCGATGAGCTCCCGCTCCTCTGCTGACTGGAGATGGGGGGAAAGGAGGAACCCGAAAGCGGGCAGATGGGTGCCGGTGTGTTCCATGCGGAAAAGGCACCCGTTTGGCTTCACTATTCACCCGTCTGTGTCCCTCTTCATAGCTTTCTGTAAGCTCAGGAACCCACCCCGCTGCTCCCATCACTGCTGCCTCGGCTGGGTGAAGGCAAGAGCAGGTGAAATGCCTGGGTTAGAGAACACTGGGGCTGTTCACCCTGGAAAAGAGAAGGGTGTGTGGAGACCTCATAGCAGCCTTCCAGCATCTGCAAGGCGTCGACAAGGATGCTGGAGAGGGTCTCTTCATTAGGGACTGTAGTGACAGGACCAGGGGTAATAGATTTAAACTTAAACAGAGAAAGTTCGGGTTATGTACAAGGAAGAAGTTTGTTACTGTGAGGGTGGTGAGGCACTGGAATGGGTTGCCCAGGGAAGTTGTGAATGCTTCATCCCTGTGATGTTCAAGGCCAGGTTGGACAGAGCCTTGGGTGACATGGTTTAGTGTGAGGTGTCCCTGCCCATGGCAGGGGGGTTGGAACTTGATTATCTTAAGGTCCTTTCCAACCCTAACTATTCTATGATTCTGTGATTCTATAATATCAGCATCTAAAATCCATCTGCTTGCATTCTCACACGATCTCTCTTATTGTCTGCTAAATCCTCCCCTGCCTTCAAAGGCCCTGGAACCTCCCTCCTAACCCCAGGAGAGACCACCCAGCTCTGCCTCCCCCTGTCTTTTCTCACTGGAATGCTGCATGAAAAGATCATCTTGATGGTGAACTAAGGGATACCCATGTGAATGATGACATGGATCAAAATGTAAAAGCATGTTCATTGTATTCCTAATAGCTTCCACTGATGAATTAAATTCAGTCCACCTCAGAAAATTTTATGCTGCTGAATACTAAGCAATGATTTTGGTGGAGCACTCAAATCCCAAGAAGCACAACATGAATCTACAGATTTATACTGGCATAATAAAACCACACCCACAGGCGCCCCTGGGGTGAAATGAAGATGATGTGTAGGAGCCACAGAGGCAAAGCAAGATGAACCTGGAGCATACAGTAATTGATTAAATATCCCCAGGAAGGAGCAATCCAGCCTTGTCTTGCCCAGGCGCCTCTCTACACACGCTACAGGGACCTCCTCTGCTTCCACAGCTCATAGGAAGTTCTGGAGATGAAGAAACGCCGAGCTAGAGTTAGGAAGAGACACTAGGGGTCCTTCTGCACCAAAGTTAAGAACCAACACCTCCTTGGGAGGAAAAACTGCTCCAAGCAGAGGAAAGGGCACTCGCCTCCTTCTTTGGCACAGAAATTGAGATTCAAAGGGAAGAAAGGAAACGCGTTGGTGTCTTTTTCTTCAGAGCTACATTTTTCTTCCTGCCAAGCACACTGCTGACAGCAACTTTGTGTCAGAAAGGCTTGCCCTAGTAAGCTACTAGAGGTTCCTTAAATACCCTGTGGTTCTTGACCCAGGAGGTACCAGGACTTCCAACAGCCTGACCAATAGGAATCTGGGGGCCCATGAAGGAGATACCTGGCAACCAGACAGAGGAAATAGGTGAACTGTGCAAAGTGTTGTTTGTAGCTAGAGCTGCGTTTGGCAGATGTGTCTGTCCCTGCTTCAGTCATTTCACCCCTTTTTATCACTTCTGTAGTGACTTAGCGAGACAAAAACCAAACCAACACCCCCCTATGTGTCAAATGTCTAGAGCATGGCATAGTACTTGCTCATGAGGGCAGCCCTTCTCCTAGGAGAAAAGCATGGAACACTTTCAGGGTGAGGGGAATGAAACCAAGGATTTATGCAGGTGCTGTGATACCCCAGGAAGAATGTCCCATGGTGGGCAGAGGGAGATGAGGAAGCATGCAGCAGAAGCCCATTCCCAGTAGTGGCAGCTGAACAGGCATGGGTGGATCCATCCCTGCAGAGCAGATTTCGGTTCATGGAGAGCTCGCAGCCTCTCCCAGCCAGAGACATGGTGACTCAGGGGCCACTCAGTAGGACTTGGATGCTGGCAACCCATACCAGGCAGTGCTGCATCCCCGTTTCACGGTGAAGGACACTGACTACCTCCATCCTTCTCTGCCCCAGAGTGCCAAAGCAGTGCATGCTGAGCCTTGCCTTGGCCTGGACTGCCCCACTCGAGGCGAAGCTCGCACACACTCGAGGTGAAGCCCTGCAGGCACAGCTAGGCCCGAGAGGGGGAACGAGTGCAAGGGCAGAAAAGAGCACTCTGTGTCACCCCACCACGCAAGGGATCTGCCAGCCCCACGATGCTTTGGGTGTTGTTCCACTTTCAAGTCACCGTCCTGACAGGCTCAAGCATCATCGCCCAGCACTGCCTAAAGAATGTTCTCAGTTTCTGCCCGTGTCAACGTCTCCCTGTTCCTCGGGGAACCCTCGGGGCAGGTGCCACAAGCCAAGGCGAAGGCAGGCAGCGGGCAACAACGCTGTCCCGACTACCTACAAGGAAACCTGAGAGACCGACGGCAGCGAGCTGAGCACGGGCGGCGGCAAGCACGGCTGGAAGGACCGGCGCGATGCCGGGGCTGAGGGACAGCTGGGGCACCACACGAACGGGAGGGGGCAAGAAGTCTGCGGTGCGGGGAGGCCCCCCCGCCATGGCGGGGGCCGTCACCACGGCCGGGGCCGGGCCGGGGAGGGGTTTCCCCGCCGCGGTTTGCGCGCCTGCGGGGGCTGTCGGCGCCGTGCCGTGTCGCCATGTCGCCCTCCGCGCTGCTGCCGCTGCTGCTGCTGCTGGCGGTGCCGGCCCCCGCGGCTGCGGCGGCGGGGGGCTGCGGGCCGTGCGAGGCGGCGCAGTGCCCGGCGCTGCCGCCGCGGGGCTGCCCGCTGGGCCGGGTGCGGGACGCCTGCGGCTGCTGCTGGCAGTGCGGGCGCGGCGAGGGCGAGGCGTGCGGCGGCGGAGGCGCTGCGGGGGGACGCTGCGCCCTCGGCCTCGAGTGCGTGAAGAGCCGCCAGCGCCGCAAAGCCAAGGGCGGCCCGGCGCAGGGACCCCTCTTCTCCTCCGCCGGCGGCCCGCCCGGCGTGTGCCTCTGCAAGAGCCGCTACCCGGTGTGCGGCAGCGACGGGCTCACCTACAGCAGCGGGTGCCAGCTCCGCGCCGCCAGCCTGCGCGCCCAGAGCCGCGGCGAGCCTGCCATCAGCCAGCGCAGCAAGGGAGCCTGCGAACAAGGTGCGGGCGGCCGTGGGGAAGGGAGCGGGGAGGAAGGGACTCCGTGCTGACGGACTTGACGGTGGAAAAGCCGGTCCCGAGTTCTCCTCGCACTGTTCTGTCCCGTTGGGATGCTTATCTATAAAGTCACGGTGATTTCAGAACCGCCTTAAATGGACTTGAGAGTCCCGAGTGCTGAAGCGCTGCTGGCTAAACTTGGAGTGAGGCTTTAGACCAGCCCCAGAGGTGCAGAGAAACTTTGCCCCTCTCTCTTGGCTTCCAGATGTGCTGTAAACTACACTGCCTTCTTTTGCGTACTTTGCCTGCAGCTTGCGATTTGGGATGCTGTGACCTGGGACAAAAGGGTTGAGCCATCCAGGAGACTGTTTGCAGTCTTCCTGAGAAAAGGGAATGATTAAATGGATGGGGAAGCCACTTAAATGCAAAGCCAACATTCGCTAGCTTGCTTTTGGTTCAAAATGAATGCAAGCAGTGACTTCCCTGTAAGCTGCACGTGGCCGTTTGCACTTGCAGCATTTCCAACAGGAGCTCGATTCTTGCCAAGCTTTTGTTTAGGGATGGTGCTCGAGAATGAAATTGTTCTGCTACAGAGACTTTACTAGAAATCCTGGCTTCTGAGAGTGCCTTTTGCTGGGAGGGAAGAAGGGAAGGAGGACGGGACATAAAACACTAGCTACTTACCAAACGTCTCAAGGACATTATTATTGCAGCGCCAATGCTGTTTTGGTGGAGGAATGTTTCCATAAACATAGTATGTGTAGGGTCACAGCCTCCTCCTTCTCTGTCTTCCATAACTGAGGCTAAATATGTATTGAAAAAAAATGTTTCTGAGACTCCCAAGGAAAGTATGAAAGGCTGGGGAAAGATTGGGCTGTGCACTTTGATTGCAGGTCTGATGAGGAGGGGCTGAGGGTGTTTAGTCTGAAGAAGACAAGGCTCAGGGGGGACCTTATCGCTCTCTACAGCTATCTGAAAGGAGGTTGTAGTGAGGTGGGGGTCAGTCTCGTCTCCCAAGAAACAAGTGATAGGTAAGAGGTCAAGTTGTGCCAGGGAAGTTTAGGAAAAATTTCTTCACAGAGAGGGTGCTCAGGCATTGGAACAGGCTGCACAGGGGAGTGGTGGAGTCACTGTCCCTGGAAGTGTTCACAGACTATGCAGATGAGACACTCAGTGACATGGTTTAGTGGTGGTCTTGTCAGTCCTGGGGTAGTGGTTGGACCTGATGATCTTAAAGGTCTTTTCCAGCCCAGTTGATTCTGTGATTCTATTATTCTATGATGTTACCCATTAAATGCCTTGTGTGGGTTTTCACAAACCTTGTGCAAAACATTAGTCTTATATATTAGTCAGGACCATTGTGGTACAATGTTAACACCTGGAGGGAAGGAGCTTCAGCTCTCAGGCTAGTGTGGGATGAAACCAGAGCAGCCTCTCTCCAGACTTCTGGCTAGCATTTGGAAGGAGTCTTTCCTGCTCAGTTGCCCCAGGAGCTGTTCACAGCAGCCCTAAATATGTGTGCTGCTTGGGTAGCAGGGTGGCATCTTGCTGGTTTTGATGTGGTGTCCCTGCCAGCCAGCTGAAGTAAGCAGGTACGTTTGAGGGATGCCTGAGGCCACGCTTCAGACATGTAGTTGAGAAGAGGGCTGTGTTCTCACTTGTCTCACCCAAAGCCACCTGAGAGTTTGTGGCAAAAGAGCTTTATTGATACTCATATTGAAAGCTACTGCCCCAGCCCTTGGCTGCACTTGCCTGTGTCCACTCCAGGCTATGTGCTGGCTTGTCCTGGTGGGACCTTGCCCCAGGCTGTGGAGACAGAGTTTGATGTGGTCAATGCAAACACAAGCTGCCAGGCAGGATGATAGGAGACCACCAACCCACCAGCCTCAAACATCTCCATCCTCTGGTCATCACAGCAGCAGCTGCTCTGAAGGGGGTCACAGTGTGGGACAGCCACTCCCTGCACAAACTGTGTCCCTTCCTTGGAGAAGGTCCTTTTGGGGTGCAGCTGTGCAGCATACGCCTTTGCAGGCTGTTGCTTGTTGTTTAAGAACCTTGCTGAGCATGTGGTGCCAAGCCACTGGCGGAAAGTCCCCTTGTCTGTCAGTCAGCTCTTCTTTTGGCTCCTGTTGCTGGGACTGCTCTGACCCAGCATCTCCAGGAAGGGAGCTGCAGGGACGTCAGCAGCAGTGTCGGAACTGGCTCAGCTTCCCTTGGCTGAGTGAACCTTCCTGGTGCCATGGACCTTCTGGTGATACGCATCGCTCCATGGCTTGCAGTTGAGGCAGGGACTCAGCCCACACACATGTAGACATCTGGAAGTGTTTGTGTAGCCCTCAGGGCCTCCTGGCAGTGAGGACTGTTGGGTGGGGAGGGGAGGGACGTTGTAATCTCCACATGCATTTTGAAACAAGGGCTGGAGAGAACACCCATCATCGCATCAGCCCTGCAGGGAGAGCCTCCTTTAGTATCTCTCCAGCTAGGAGACAGCACTCTTCTGGGTTTATAAAAGAACCTAGATGCTGTGGGAGTCAAAGAGTGGAAGTTCTGGCTTTTGCTATTTCCAACCACAATTGGATGTGGTCTTGAGGCACTGTTTAGAGTGGGATCCGGCACAGGAAGACCACAAACAGGCACGATCATTTGTGTGACAGCTTTTATGCAGAAAGAAGTCCTTGGGGGACAGGGGACTGGGACTTCTTGCTCATGGCAGATGGGCTCTGGAGTGTCTGCACACACTTGCTGGACTATCCTTTTGGGTCCAAGGGCAAGCAGCCTCTCAAGTCTGAGACGAGATCCAGAAAAACCTTGTTTGCAGCAGTGGATCCTAACTGTGTTCTTGTGTTTTTCAAGTGGAGCTGGAGAGGGAAGGCTTGTTTTGCACATCCTATTTGAAAGCTGGTCCTCAGGAAAGGAAATGCAGAGCTCTGTCTGTCTGTTGGCCTTTGCTGTCGTCAGCAGGAAGGGCGGCAGCTGGAGATGGGGTATCCAGCGGAAGAAGGGAACACATCTGGGAACAGCTTACTGATAGATGCTCCTCCTCACCCACCCTAGTGCAGTGGTAAGCTGGGGGTGGCAGGGCAGGAGGCAAGACACAGACAGATGCAAATGGGGCAGACACTTGCCAGTTTATCCCTTTCTTGATTCCTGTCACTGTCTGCTCAAACCTCACCTCCCAGGCAAGGTGGGCACGAGGCTTAACTGCAGGCACCTCTTCTTCTGCCCTGAAATACATGCTTGAGACAGGGATTGGCCAGAAGCAATTAAAGGATTTGGGCTCCTATTACTCGGTTAATTGAGGATGCGTTTCATACCCTCTCTCTTGCCTTGTCGCCTTCTCTGTCCCTTATGTACCAGGTATTCAGAGGGTCTGAAGGAGGTATACCTGTTGGGAGGGACAGTCCTGCTGATCTGTCATGGGCAACACAGTATAGGCGTCAGTAAAGACACCTGGAAACAAAGCACTCGGTGGCATAATGCTTCAGATGCAAGCTACTCCTTCAGACATGCATCTTTACACCGTAAATGTACTTCAAATGGAATAAAAGTTTATTAAAATCATATCTGACAAAGCTGACCAAATGCACATCCAGTTGAGCTTTACATATTCATCACTGCCTATTGCAGGGTTTTCTGTGCGATGCTCAGCAGTTTTTGCTTGCTAAAAGATACTGCTCACTGTCTGGGAAAAACTTGGATGCTTCATTGTTGTTAAACAGCAGAAGGAAGGAGCCAGTTCTTGGCCCTACATAATTCGCCTTGACCTTGTCCTTGGGAGTCTTTTTCTGCTGCTTGTTTCCCAGACCTCTCAGATCTGATGCCTGTGTTCTTTGTACAAAAATAGTGAAGCCATGCAGAAAAGGTATTTCCTTTGCAGCCAAAACTTCCTGCTGGAGGGCCAAGAAAGACACAGTTGAGAAGAGCTTGAGAGGACTGAAATAACCCTTGCTATACCTGCACTTGCAGGTGCAGGGATCCAGGCAGTCCTTCCTGGAGTGGGGATCATTTGGAACAGCTGGAAAAAGGCTCCTTGATTCCCGACTCCTTGAGGCTGTCTGCCTGCTGTTGGTGCTGTGTGAGCAGTGTCAGCTACCTGTGTTTGCACGGGAAGCAGGCAGTGATGCTGTGGTGCTCCCTCCTGGCTGGGCTTGTGCTGTGCCCTCAAACTTCCATTCACAGCTGGCTCTGGGTTGGATCCCTGCCAGGGAGCCACTGCCTGCATCCCATCTCTACCCCAGCAGCCTCTTTGTAGCTAATCTGAAGCCAGGCAGGAGATGGAGCTGTGAAGTTTTCCAGCTGCTTTCCAGCATTCTTTAAATGGATTGGCCCTTTGCTCTCTGCCTACAAATATGCATAGCTGTGCTTGGGTCTGCTGCCAGCTCTCGCAGGTGGGGCAGGCCAGTATGCATAGCAGAGGCTTGATGGTGGGGCAGGTACAGTCAGGGATGCCACCCATCTGTGCACAGATGTTCAGAAAAGCCTCTTAGTGAGTTAATGGCTTCACTGAGATTAATTTATCAGTGCACACACTGAGGCTGTTTATGGACAGCTAGGACCTGGGCCAGGAGGACCGTGGTACCCACTGGCATACAAAACCAGCTGGCATAAAGAATTACAGTTGCATGGCTTAGCTCAAGCCAGGCGGAAAAACAACCTCCAAGCACCAACCCTCATCAAAAACCTAGCAGGAATTTTGGCATGATGATCTCTCTGAGCTGAAAAATACCAAGCACGGACTTGTTGCCTAACCAGCACAAGAAAGGAGAAATAAATACCTTCAAGTCTCTCTTATCATTAGCTACCAGCAAATACCTGCCTCAAGGAACATGTCATGACTGCTGGAACTGCTGCTTTGTATTGTTGCCTCATTACAGCCTGAAGGCCTTATGGTTTGAAGGCCCTGATACTTGTTCTAGCAGAGTTGGGATGTCCAGGTTATCATGCTGTTGTCAGTCAAGGCTTTGTCTATATTTGTCCTGGGTTCAGCAGCAGCAGTCCTTTTT